TGTTCGATGCTGCTCTCCTCTGTATCTATTTTTGTTCATCACTTTATGTTCTTTATTATACATAAATGATGAGATCATGTGGTATTTTTCTTTCATTGATTGGCTTATTTCACTTAGCATGATGCTCTCCAGTTCCATCCATGCTGTTGCAAATGGTAAGAATTCCTTCTTTTTTACAGCTGTGTAGTATTCCATTGTGTAGATGTACCAAAGTTTTTTAATCCACTCATCTGCTGATGGGCATTTAGGCTGTTTCCAAATCTTAGCTATTATAAATTGTGCTGCGATGAACATAGGGGTGCATATATCTGTTCTGATTGGTGTTTCTGGTTTCTTGGGATATAGTCCTAGAAGTAGGATTACTAGGTCAAATGAGAGTTCCATTTTTTAACTTTTTGAGGAAACTCCATACTGTTCTCCACAGTGGCTGCACCAGTCTGCATTCCCACCAGCAGTGCAGGAAGATTCCTTTTTCTCCACATCCTTGCCAGCATTTGTCATTTGTTGATTTGTTGATGATAGCCATTCTGACAGGTGTGAGATGGTATCTCGTCTTGATTTGCATCTCTTAGATGATTAGTGACTTTGAACGTGTTTTCATATGTCTCTGGGCTTTCTGTATGTCCTCTTTCGAAAACTGTCTATTTAGATCCTTTGCCCATTTTTTGATTGTATCATTTACCTTCCTTTCATTAAGTTGTATGAGTTATCTGTAAATTTTAGAGATTAAACCCTTATCGGAAATATCATTGGCAAATATTTTCTCCCATGCAGTGGGCTTTCTTGTTGTGTTGTTGATGGTGTCTTTTGCTGTGCAGAAGCTTTTTATTTTGATGTAGTCCCATTTGTTTATTTTCTCCTTAGTCTCCATTGCCCTAGGAGCTGTGTCTGTAAAGATATTGCTATGACATATGTCTGCTATCTTGCTGCCTATGGAGTCTTGTAGGATTTTTATGGTTTCCCGTCTTACATTTAAGTCCTTTAGCTATTTTGAGTTTGTTTTTATGTATGGTGTAAGTTGATGATCTAGTTTCATTTTTTTGCATGTATCTGTCCAAATTTGCCAGCACCATTTATTAAAGAGGCTGTCTTGACTCCATTGTATGCTCTTGCCTCCTTTGTCAAATATTAATTGAGCATAATGGCTTGGGTTGATTTCTGGGTTCTCTGTTCTGTTCCATTGGTCTATATGTCTGTTCTTGTGCCAGTACCAGGCAGTTTTGAGAACCATGGCTTGGTACTACAGCTTTATATCTGGTATTGTGATCCCTCCAACTTTGTTCTTTTTTCTCAGGATTGTTGTGGCTATTCAGGGTCTTTTTTTTCATTCAAGATGAATTTTTGGAGAGTTTGTTCTAGATCTGTGAAATATGCCATTGGTATTTTAATGGGGATTGCATTGAATCTGTAAATTGCATTAGGTGGTATGGACATTTTAATAATGTTGATTCTGCCAATCCATGAACATGATATGTTCTTCCATTTGTTTATATCTTCCACTATCTATTTTTTCAATGTCCTGTAGTTTTCTGAGTACAGGACTTTTACCTTCTAAGTTAAGTTTATTCCTAGGTATCTTAATTTTTTTGGTGCACTGGTAAATGGGATTCCCCCCCCCCCCCCGCTTATCTTTCTGTGAGTTCATTATTGGTGTATAAAAAGGCCATAGAATTCTGGGTGTTATTTTGTATCCTGCTACATTGGCAGATTCGTTTAATAGGTCCAGTAGAGTTTTGATGGAACCTTTGGGGTTTTCTATGTATAGTATCATGTCATCTGCGAATAAAGACAGTTTTACGTTGTCTTTTCCAGTTTGGATGTCTTTTTTTTTCTTCATCTTGTCTGATCACTATGGCTAGCACGTCCAGTACTATGTTGAACAGGAGTAGTGAGAGTGGGCATCCCTGTCTTGTTCCTGTTCTTAGGGGAAATGTTTTTAGTTTTTGCCCATTGAGTATGATGTTGGCTGTGGGTTTGTCATATATGGCTTTTATTATGTTGAGGTATGATCCTTCTATTCCCAACTTGCTGAGAGTTTTTATCAGAAATGGGTGTTGGATTTGGTCAAATGCTTTTTCTGCATCAATTGATATGACTATGTGTTTTTTTTCTCTCAATTTGTTTATGTAATGTATCACGTTTATTGATTTGCGGATATTGTACCATCCTTGCATCCCTGGGATAAATCCTACTTGGTCATGGTGTATGATCTTTCTGATGTACTGATGGATCTGATTTGCTAAGATTTTGTTGAGGATTTTGGCATCTATGTTCATGAGGGATATTGGCCCGTAATTCTCTTTCATTGTGTTGTCTTTACCTAATTTTGGTATTAGGGTGATGCTGGCTTCATAGAATGAGCTTGGAAGTGTTCCTTCCTCTTGAATTTTTTGTAGTAGTCTGAGGAGGATAGGTTTTAGTTCTTCCTTGAATGTTTGGTAAAACTCCCCTGTGAAGCCATCTGGTCCTGGGCTTTTGTTTGCTGGAAGCTTTTTGATGACTGCTTCAATTTCTTCCATAGTTATTGGCCTATTGAGATTTTTAGATTCTTCCTGATTGAGTTTTGGAATGTTGTATTTTTCTAGGAATTTGTCCATTTCCTCCAGGTTGTCTAGTTTGTTGGAGTAGAGCTGTCCATAGTATTTTTTAACAATCATTTGTATTTCTGTGGGGTCTGTTGTTATTTCACCTCTATCGTTTCTGATTTTGTTTATTTGGGTCCTCTCTCTTTGTTTCTTCGTGAGCCTGGCTAGAGGTTCATCAATCTTGTTTATCCTTTCAAAGTACCAGCTCTTGGTTTTGTTGATCTTTGTATTGGATTTTTTTTGTATCTTTGTTTGTTTGTTTTTTCTATTTTTGGTCTCTATGTCATTTATCTCTGTTCTGATCTTTATGATTTCCTTCCTCCTGCTTATGCTGGGCTTTTCTTGTTGCTATCTTTCTAACTCTGAGTTTTAGGGTTAGATAATTTATTATCATCTTTTTTTTTTTTAAGCTAGGCCTGCAGAGCTATGAACTTCCCTCTCAAGACTGCTTTCACTGTGTCCCACCCATAGATTTTGGATTGTTGTGTTTTCATTGTCATTTGTTGCCATGATGCTTTTTATTTATTCCTTGATCTCTTTGGTAACCCAATCATTGTTTAATAGCATGTTATTTAGACTCCATGTGTTTGATTTTTTTTATTGTAGTTGATCTCTAGTTTTATTCCATTGTGATCTGAGAAGATGCTTGATATGATTTTTTTTTATCTTCTTGAATTTTAAGATACTTTGCCTGTACCCCAATATGTGGTCTATCTTTGAAAATAATCCATGTGCACTTGAGAAGAATGTATATTCTGTGACTTTGGGGTGAAATGTTTTGAAGATGTCAATTAATTCCATCTGGTCTAGTGAGTTATTTAGGATTGATGTTTCTTTGCTGATTTTTTGTTTAGAGTTTAGAGGATTTGTCCAGTGGTGTTAGTGGGGCATTAAAGTCCCCTACTGTGACTCTATTGCTGTCAATCTCTCCCTTGATATCCTCCAGAAGTTTTGTGGTTTTTTTTTATGTATTTGGGTGCTCCTGTATTGGGTGCATATATGTTTACCAGAGTTATATCTTCTTGTTGAATTGCTCCCTTTAGTATTATGAAGTGGCCTTCCTTATCTCTGTTTATGGCCTTCACTTTGAGGTCTAATTTTGTTTGGACATAAGTATTACTACCCCAGATTTTTTTTTTAAGTTTCTTTTCGCCTGAAAAATATGTAACGCTTTACAAATTTGCATGTCATTCTTGTGCAAGGGGCCATGCTAATCTTCTCTATATCATTCCAATTTTAGTATATGTGCTGCTGAAGAAAGCACTAATTTCTTTTTTATTCGTTACCCTAGGACATGCTTAGAGGGAGAGAGAAAGAAAAATGTTGATCTGTCGCCTCCCATATGTGCTCCAACTGGGAATCTAACCTGTAACCTTTAGGTTCATAGGACAACACTCAACCAACTGAGCCAATCTGTCTGGACTTTTTCCTCCCACCCACCCCCACTTTAAGACTGCCCAGTGCAACCTGGTTTTTGTGAGTTTCTTTTTTTCAATTGATTATTCCAAAATAGACGTCTTAGAGTAGTCTTTCCCAGCCCAATAATGGAATCAGTATGCAGTTGAGTGAATTATTGGACTAAGATGGAAAAAAGAAGGGAGAAACTAGATATTAAAGAGTCAACATTTGATTGCTAGGATTCTTAGAAATATGCTTTACATAGAGGCTGCATGATGCAAATCAAAGTGTGTTACTTTCTGCACCTGTTATCAAAGTCTGTGAAAGGTTGGAATTATTCTCCTATTTTATTCAGTACTCTTTGTTCCTATTTTGACTATTGAAAAGTATCACAGGTGCATATTTGAGGATCATAATACCACCCATTACACAGTAAAGCTCAGCACATTGGCAGTTTACATATTGTCACTGAAGGAGGGAGAGATTGTTAAGCTTTATTCATGTAAGTCTTATAGTTTCAGTAAATTCAAAAGGCCCTTTGAGGTTGTTCTAATTTATCTTCTCCCTGTCCAAGAAGCATTGGAACTTTTCCTTTGGAAGGTTACTTTTACTCTCCTTCTCAGAAACTACTCCAAGAAGTTTCTATTCCATTTTTGTTACTCCATAATTTTGTGTTTTCAATTATGTCTATGAGTATTTTAATTGATATTTTTAATAAAAATATGTAGACATACTTGTAGCCTAATGGGAAAGACAAGACATTAAAGAATAACTAAAATAATCATTTCAAATACAGTACTCATGAATACTCATTCTGGACCAGGCACTGTATTGAGTACTGTTCATGTAATAAGAACCACAATAACCCTGTGAGGCAGATATTAGTATCATCCTCATTTTTAGATTACATAATTGGGAGATTGGAGGGAATTGTGAGGATATCAGAACACAACTTAAAATTTGGTCCATTTGAGTCATCCTGGTTTTCCCTCAGTGAGAATGAGAAGTAGGAATATCCTTGATATCAAGACAATTATCTGTGAATGAACCAGAATTCTTTTCAGTGGCTCAGTGAAAATAGACTCTTCTAGAACCGGAGAGTCTCTCCATCCCTACAGAATCAGAGGGCAATACCCTTAGGCTATAAGGCTTGCTTTGCCATCATGGGGGGCTTGGAAATAGATGTCTTTTCCAATTTCATACTCAAAGCTCTAGGTGCACCACAGATTTTTCTAATTTATCTAGCACTGTGGTTAATTTCACAGACTCTGGAGACAGAGTACATGAGTTTATAACACAGCTCTTGCTTTTTTGTTGTTGTTGTATGTCCTTAGCAAAGTTATCTACTTTCTCTGTGCCTCAGATTCTTCATTTGTAGAATAGGGTTCCTATCTTATATGTTTGTTGCAGAAGCTAGGATACGCCTGGCTGGGAGTAGGCACTCAATAAATGGTATCTGTTATTTTACATATCTTACTAAGGAATGGTTCTCACTTTTCCTTGAACTTCTTTTGATTTCCAGACTCTATCATTTTGTAGGAGTAACTAAACTCCATGTGTAACTATAATGTGTTTTCTCTACAAACCACTAAAGCAACCATGCTTAGTTGGTACAGTCTGCCGTCTTCCTTTATATTTTGCCACCTTCGTATTTTATTTGGATTCACTTGTATTTCTGCCATTAAGTAGTCTATTTGTCTGGTGCATGCAAGTAAATACTCAGAAAGAATGATGAGTTCACTTAGAAAGAACACCATTTGAATTTCATACTCCACAACTGTCCCATAATTGAGAGTCACTGAAGAATCTTCCATACAAGATACTGTAGAATGTGGGAGGATTGTCCATTAATGAGTCACAAGAATCATGTAAAGATTCTCTTTATTCTACAAATATTTTGGAAGACTACTATACCACAGACTCTCTGAAAGACACTGGGGATACCGTAATGAAAAAAAAAATTCTTTCCATTTAGAATTTTGTACTCTAGTGGGGTACAAGTTAGTTAGCAAATGAATAGAACAGAGTGTGGCAAGTTCTATAATGAAAATAAGCAAAGGCATTGTGGGGAATCTGGAGGAGGTCCTAGTCCAGACTCCTGTTAAAAGCTGTTCAGCTTAGAGAATGAGCAAAGCCCCTCACAGAGCACTGATTCAGGCCCACCTCCCCTCACTCTTGCAATATTGTAGTAGCCTTGCAACTATTCTTCATGATTCTACTAACTACAATCCATTTTTTTTGGCAGAATTGTGGTGAATTTATCAAAAAGATATTGGCAAACAAAAATGATAAAATCAAACCATACAAAGCAGCATGTTTGTCAAAATTGAATTATTTCCTATAATTGTGCAACTATATGCACACAAAGATGTATACAGATACATGCAGACACATACACACAAAGTTAATTTTGTGTACCCTGAGGCAATTTTGGAATGTGTTCATGTGCTTTTATGCATTTCTGGTCATTTATCCTTCTTATAAAAATATTTTTGGTAATTTTTATAAATGATGGGAAAATTTTGCAGTTGTCATTATATTTGTTAATATAATTTATTCATATTTGAATTAACAAAGTTTAATTCATTTTCCAATTATACCAGCTCTACATATTTTACAATGTTGCTTGAATTTTAAAATTTTTACCTCTGGCTCTAAATGAATTGTCAGGAAGTAAAGTGGTCAAAAGCAATGTTACCATCAGCTAGTTCATTTATTAATTACTTCTATTCATCTCAAGGTGATTGTAGAGAATGTTTGCCATTATCACAATATTTGTTTCTATTTTCTAGGTAATTTGTCTTTATTAAATTTGAGTCATTTATTTTTAGTCAGGGAGGTTTGCTTTACCTATTTAGTATTTTAAACCATTGTAAATTGTTTTTTTTAATTTTGATTTTAAGTAGCGTTAATAGTCTTCATAACAAAGAAAAACAAAAAGACATTTTCTAGTTAGAATAAGAGTTTCAGTAACTTGGTTCTGGGATAGTTTTGAAACAGGCATTACATTCCTAAGTGTTGGTTTAGCATTGACATCAAAATATAAAATATAGAGATGATAAATTGGTTCTGTATATCTCTTTTTATTCGTTCATCCTTACAATAGCAATAGGCATTTTACATCTTTGACTATACTTAATTAGATGCTCTATTCCCTTAGATTGACCAATCATAGTGAATAGAGATAATCTAGATAAGATCTGGTAAATACTGACCCAACTGCTACCTGGAAACATCCATTTTTCTGGCAATTCATTGTGTCAGCTTATCTGCCATTTCAACCACTTGTTTTCAAACAAAAATTTATATTTCTTTTCTACTATCCCAAGAGTTCACAACTTAAAACCTGTTACCAACACTATTTCTTGCTCAAAAAATCCGCTACCTCATTCGCAGGATAAATTGCATTTATTTGGCTTAGCATTCAGCATTGAGTGCATAAGAGATACTCAATTACTTTTGTTGGTCATAGATAATAGTTTTTAGTGTGCTTAACATATGGTAGTCACTGTACTAAGTACTTTTCATGGATTATGTTATACAATCCAACAAAGTGACTCTATGTGGCAGGTTCTATTATTACCCTCCCTTTTCAGATAAAGAAATGGGAACTCAATGAGGCTAATAACCACCCCAAGGATACCTTGAATAGGAACCGTCCTCTGTTAGAGTTTCATTATTTACATTACTTTCTATTATATATTAGTTACTATATCCTCTATTCTACTTTCTCTATATATAAATTTGTCTATTCTAGGTACCTCACATAAGTGGAGTGATATAATATGTGTCCTTGCATGTCTGATATATTTCAATTTTTTTCCTTTTTAAAGCTGAATAATACTCTATTGTATGTATAGACCACATTTTGTTTATTCATTCATCAATTGATAGACATTTTGGTTGTTCCTACCTTTTGAATAATCCTGCTATGAACATTGATATAAAAGTATGTTTGACTTCCTGCTTTTAATTCTTTTGGATACATAATTAGGAGTAAAAATGTTGATTTATATTATAATTCGATTTTTAATTTTTTGAGGAACATTCATACTGTTTTCCGCAGCAGCTGCACCATTTTACATTCCCACCACAATGCACAAGGGTTTCAAATTCTCTATATCCTCTCTTATATTTGTCATTTTCTCTTGGTGTGGTATGGCATCCTAATTCGGTGTGGTATGGCATTTCATGATGGTTTTGATTTGCATTTCCATAATTTTTAGTGATGTTGAGCCTATTTACATGTGCTTATTGAACATTTATATATCACCTTTGAAAAATCTTTGTCTATTTGCCCATTTTAAAAACGATCTGTGTGTTTTTGTTGTTGTTGGGTTTTAATTCTTTAATACAAATATTTAAGGAGTATGATAGATTATATATATATATATATATATATATATATATATATATATATATATATGTATAACTGTGTTAGACACTGTGAGGGATGAAAAGTAAGACAGTTCTGACCCTTAAGGCATAGTAACAGTAGGACACCTAAGTTAAATATACAAAGAATAAATATCTGAGAACAAGAAGTGTCCAAAGAGATATTGGCACAGTAGAGAAGGAGACAGAACATCTCTTTCAAGTGTTTTTAGAAGTAGTCAAATAAGCCTGCATGAAATCCATCAGACTGGAGATGAATTTTAATGGATGGATTATATTTAAACAGGCACAGACAGGGGAGGGAGAAGGACATTCAGGTATAAGATGTGGCATGATAAAAACAAGGATGTAGGAAAGCTCTTGTCAAATTTGTGCACAAACAACTATTTCAGTTTATTCACAAATTTGGGTAAGGTTTTATTGCAGAAGGCCTTGAATATCATGGTAACAAATTTCTAACTACTTTAATAA